TTTAAGATATTTTATTTTAAAATAATTATTAATCATAATATGAGGTTAGTAATTATTAATTTAATATTTAATTCAATGATTAATAAATAATTGTGCACTTTTAACCATTTATTTTTATATTCTTAACTTATAATGAATCTAAATTAAGAATCCCCTTTGCTTTGAACTTTTAAATTTATATATAATTAATCACTTAGGCACAAGTTTACATCCCCCCACCCTCTCAAACTTATTTTATTATTTTTTTATCATACTAGAGCACATGAAATAAAAATACAACTAACAGACAAAAGAGGACGGAAGTAACATAGAAATATGCTATGAGACAATTGGAAGACATCGCAAATGGAGAAATACTATAACTGAAAAAAAAAACACATATACAACACAATAATAAGCAGCAATTATGAAAATCATAGAACTGGAAAATTACATAAATAAAAATCTCACAAAAGTTCACAACATAATATAACAATACACAAAAAATACTGAAGCACTGGAAGAAATTTACTATCTCCCCCTCCTCTTCCTAATTGTGACCCTCATCCTTCTCCATAGGCTGGCGTAAGACAACATAGTTCTAGAAATTTTGGGCATTAGGAAACTGGACGACATCAGGCCTGATATTTAGCTGGTAGTGCTGAAACATGTTGACCAAGGTTGAGTTAAACTTTACATGGTACTCATACTACCATTGATGCTCATCTATATAATGGTCAGTTTTTTTCCTCATGTTTTGCTACCACCACTGCATGATAGCCACATTCCTATTCAAATTCTAAATTCTTTCAACCATTAAAGAGGTGGAGGGTATGGCACAAGAGGTGAAAGGTTTGGAAGAACTCTCTCTTAGCTGAGTAGATACACCTTTATAGGATGTCAAACTCTCCTTTGTCATCGAGCGAATAAGGAGCATATGCACCTTTAAGTAGTCACCCTTGGTACCTACCTTTACACATAAGGCTTAAATGAGAGATGGGTGGCCAAGGTCGATGATAGCCTCCTTAAATATATTCATGATGGAAAGATGGATAATAGAGACTATAACTATCAACTTTTCTTTCTTAATGCAAAAATAAAAGATCACTTGATATTTAGTAACCTCATAGACATTAGTTGAGGGCATGGGTTTGATTGAAAAGAAATAATGCCATACCCGTGACCTGATATTCAGAGTGAAATCCACAAAAGTGATGATTTTTGCTTCTCCAATTTGCCGCTATGTAAGTGTCAGTAAGAAAATTAATTATTAGGGTTTAGGGTTTAGGGTTTAGATCAAAATTAAGAAACTGAGAATACTCATCTTGGGAAATATTAGGGGGTCTAATAATAAAATTTATGGAGGAAGGACCAAAGTGGACTTGTTTCCCCCTAAGAAAAATAGTGTCATTTTTTTGTTCTTTCATATTTATGAAGAACACATAGACAATATCAACAATGACCGATCATGTTTTAGAGCACAATTTATACAAACCTCTCTTAACAATCAGACTTTAAACTCTACCCCTAGTTCCAGGAATCCACTCCCCATAAATGTTTTTTTCAATATTAGGATGTCGTTGTAATGAACTGCAAACATCATCACTAACAAACTTACTGACTAGTACTATGGTGAAGCACACGTTAGCCAAGTGAGTATACATGTCAATCAAGTGGTATATTAATTTTTTAGTCACTGTATCAATCCTACAAAGAATTAGTTAATTTATAAAAAGATGAAAGTTTCTTCATTTATTTTGAATTGTCAAATGTTTGTAAATTTTTTAAAGTTTTCAATCCTAGTTCTGCAAAATAAAACCTAAGAAATGAGAGTAGGGTTTTTTATAAAGTGAGAGTGGTGAGGTTTTTATTGTGTCATGTATCCATCTTATATCTTAAAAGATTTTTATCTAAATAATTGTATGCATCATTCAAAGAATAACATACTATCCTAAGTGATCAAAACATTACCTTAAAATTGATATAATTACCCTTAGTGATGAAAATATCAATGATTTTAGGGTTTACGAAACCAAGAATTTTTCCCTCACTTTATGGGTGTTGGATAAGGTTTACTTTATTCTTGGATCTAATATCCCTACGAGGGGAAGTCTTCATGGTTAATTAAATTTCAAGGATGGAAGCTCCCAAGAATACTCTTGATATAAGTTTTGGCTTACACCATGAATGAACATTTGTAAGTATTTGTGGGATTGATGCTTGAGATTCAGATTGATAGACTGAGGGTTTGAAAATAATTTGAGTAGAATTGAAGGATGTGGAATGTAAATAAGTAAAATGGAAAAAAAACACATGAATATATGAGAAACATGTAAAAAAAATCACAAGTGAACACATATTATAATTGATAGAGGGCTAAATAACAGTAACATAGCACAAATATTCATATATAATCCATAAATTGATTATGCGGTGACATAATCAAAGTTAGAATAACATGCAAGTTAGGCACCATCACCCTCATCATCATCATTCTCCTAAATAAGAGTGGAAGGCAGGTAGCTCTAGAGATACAAGTTAACAAACACAATAATGCACACAATAAAATAAAAATAAAATGATAAATTATGATGCCTCCCAATAAGCTCTTTTTTTAACATTCTCAACCTAACCAATGCACATACATACATAATAAAACAATTTAAACATGCAACAAAACTATAAGATAATGCTTGGGTTACCTCCCAAATATCACTTGCTTTTATGTCCTCGACCTATCACATTTAAATCATACACATAATTTTTCTTTAAAATTAAATTGTCATTTTAATAGTCCATGATCAATAACCTAATATTTTTAATGCCCTGTAGAGTTTTCTACGTTATATATTTATGATCCCAAATTTTTATTTATTTGAGATATTAAGTTCTTATTTTTTCTAAATCTCCTTCAAAACTCCTTGCAAATTTTCTATTTCCATTCAAACATATTCTTCAAGTGGGATAAGTAGGGGATGAAATTGCATTATAAATTTGGGAAGTCAATTCTTCATCTTGAACTCTAATAATTAACCCCTCTTTCTGTAAATTGATATACATCCTACTTATTATAAGAAAAGGTATGCTAAAAAAGTATGGGATCGTAGCATCTTCGTCTATATCCAAAATAAAAAAAATCAATAGGGAAGATGAATTTATCTACCTAATAGGAAAGTTTGGAGAATGATCAACTAATTGAAGGGTCATAGTTGTAGTTTTAAGCTCTCCTAATCCTAGTGATGGCCAAAAAATTGTTGTGAGACAAGTGGTCCAAGTATTCAAAAGACACAAGGTAGTCGTTGGGATCTGACTTTCCCTTTCATGACTCCAAGGCTGACAACTTAAACTTCTCCGAGAGTTCAACTCCAGAGATCTATAAGGAGAAAGCGTTCTTCAGTTTTTGTGTCATTTTGACCCATCAAATTTGCGCGGATCCAACGCTAGCTTTATATATCACATCTTCAACCCTCTCCTACAGATAGTTTGTCTTCCTTCCATTATGCTTCGGGGGTCTTTTTTTAAGGGGTTCATGTGCCTCATGCTGAGATTGTTCTCCTTCTGGGACGGGGTTTCCCTCAAGGTTGCGACTGCTCTGAGTACTTCTGCAAATTATCCCAACATCTGATTGGTGATCTAAGCTCTCACGTCCTGGAATCCTTGTTGAACGAATCCTTCCATATAATCTTGTGCATCCCACTTCTACCATGTTCCTCTGACTGGTTTTTCCTTGTTGTTGCTGTTATTGTGCTCATCTTCCTGTTGACAACATGGTTCCACACTCACCACACCTAAAAAAACGTTGAATCCGAAAGTATCCAGAAAATACATCCAAGGAATAGAGCGTGCTAGAAAGAAGGAGAAATAGTAAGCAATGAAAGTGCATAATTTTTTATTATAAAATGACCATTATTTATATACATAGAGGGTCTGAAGATTATATTTACAAATTTACCCTCTAATCATTGGGCTTTGCGAGGGACATTATTTATATACATAGAGGGAAAATATAATAGAATATTTACAAGAGTTATTCGATTGATATTTAATGTGGTGGTCGTTCGTTTCGACCGACCAATCACCACGGGTTGCACATATGCCCTTGATTGATGATTCACGAAAAATCAACTTGGGTCAGTGCCAAGTCAACCGCCTGAGTTCTCTTTTTCATACCTCTTTGGATTGTTGGTTGATCGGGTGGACCAACGTTTGGTTGACTAATCGTCACGCATGCTGATCGCCTTTCTCCTTCGTTTGCCTTACTTTTTGAGATCCGTACTGTGCGACTTCGCTGATCGTTCTACCTTTCGATGATCGTCTCCTTCATTTGCCATTGGATTGCTTTGAGATTCATATCATATTTTTTTCTTATACAATACCATTCAATTCTAATGTATTTACATGTCTTGACACCTAAACTGTATTTTTTACATCTATACCACTCAAATCTTCCATATAGCACAAAAAAATAGAAATCACAATTTTAACTTTTAAAAAATGAAATACATCTTTGTCAAAAATAGATAAGGTGGCATGCATGTAAGAATTGAGGGGTGTACATACAAATCTTATATAAATCATGAATGGTTAGAAATATCATAGAGGAGAAATTTTTTAGCATTAAAATTATTTATTTTACAAACTCCATGCTCTTTGACATTAGAATTCTAAGCTCTTGTGCGCGTATCATAGTTGTTGGTAGAGTAGACTCTATGAAGGTTGTAAGTCCCCTCAGGTCACGGGTCATGGGTTCGAATCCTCTCATGTGTAGGGTGTGATACTCGAATATTTAGCACACCTAAAAATGATCGGGACTCGTCTAATAGTCCATTCCTTTTAAAATAATAATAAAAAAAAGAATTCTAAGCTCTTAGAGAAAATAATAATAATAATAATAATAATAATAATAATAATAATAATAATACAGATCACCCCTTCAGCTCCACATTCGTATTTGTCACACTCAAACAATTATATTGCAAGCAGAATAACCAGTAGGTAGAAGGTCAGTTTCCGTGATCCTCTAAGAAACTTCCAGGTTTAAAATTCCTAAAAAATCTCACTAGGAACTAACGCTACCTTTCACCTAAGCGGTAGCAATAGCAAAACCCTACAGTTAGACCATGTCGGCCGCAATCCATGGACCTCCACCTGCGTCAAAACAGGTCTTCGTCCGTTGCTTCGCCCCATTACCTGTCAATTTTACTATTATAAAGTATGAAAAAAAGGGATTTTTGCAAGCAGAGTTCGCCCTAACCGCCGCCGAAAGGTCCATAAAGAAGTATTTGTGGAACGGAAAAACTGATTTAAGAACTTTTCTCACATCGCGTCATCGTTCTCCAAGACCAAAGCCGGAGGAAGAATCTCGATTGGATCCCCGTGTTTCTTTATAGCAGGTGCCATCTTTTGAATACCCTGTAATCTTTCTGTTTCCTCACTTTTTCTCCTTGTTTGTTTGGTTTTTCTTAGGGGGCGATTATGGGGGTTATTGGGGATGTGGAGATTAGTAGTCGGAGATTTAGAGTTTTTTTTTTTTTTCAGTCTTGTAGATGCGGCATAAAAAATTGGAAAGGCTTAGGGTTAGATGAAAATTGGGTCTGTGAGTGAGAATTTTGTTTGGTCTGGGAGGGTGTTGAATTCAATCGTCAATGGGCACTTGTTTCACTGAAGATTTGGGACATTGGAAGTTGTGTCATAATTTTTATGTATTTACACGTCTGATATTTAAATCTTTATATTAATCTGTGTAATACACGCATCTCAAACTCCTATAAAATATAAAACTAAGATAACTTTTATTATAAATGAAGCATTTTTATTCTGCTCTTAATAAGTCTTATAAACTAAATCTTAAAATCTAGGGTGAGTGCTTTTCTTTGATGTTCAACTCTAAGGTTGCTTTTTGAATGAGTTCGGTTTAAGAGCTATAGTGTGGAAACATGAATTCCATATTTTATTTAGGTAGGTGTTTAGCTTAGTGATTCAGACATTGCTAAGTGAAGAATGGATTAAATGTTTAAATGTGTGATGAAGAATATGGCAAGAAGGAATTATGGTTAGCAATTTCTTTTGATGATGGTTATCATTCACATTTTGGATAATTTGCTTGAGATATTTTTTTCAAGATGGCATATAGATGCTCACACACACGTGCACATACAGATATAAAATGTACAAACATGAAAATCAGTTTTTTGATAAAGTAATTGTTCTTTCATAATTTGTTTTTCAAATTTCTCTAACGACAATGGGGGAGTGTTTTGACATATGCAAAAATGTAGTTCAAAAGCAATAAAATTTTCAAATTCAAAATAATACATTTATAAAATGCTTTGATTGACAATTTAACCTATGCACACGCACTCCTACACACATTTTAATTATATATGCACACACACATACATGTGCACATGCTTGATACTGATTTTCTCTCTGGAACACACATGCATTAGTGCACTCATGCAATTAAAATATACATGGTTCAAAATACATATTATATTAAAGCAATTATTTTCTTAATGTATTTTTCAAAATTTCAATTAAGAATGGAAAGGTCTATTGGTTATATGCAGACTGTCACCTCCCAAAAGAGCCCTTAAGGGTGGTGGGCAGCCCAGGACTTAAATACTGCTTTTCGGCCCTACACCTAGCCAATGTGGGACTATTTGTCCGTGACATTCTCCTCCACCCAATCACGTGACGCCCTCGTCACGGATCGGCTCCACCGAGGGTCCCACTGGACCATGGAGAGTCCACACACCTGGCAGACAGTAATCTGCTCTAATACCACTTGTCACCTCCCAAAAGAGCCCTTATGGGTGGTGGGCAGCCCAGGACTTAAATACTGCTTTTCGGCCCTACACCTAGCCGATGTGGGACTATTTGTCTGTGACATTCTACTCCACCCAATCACGTGACGCCCTCGTCACGAATCGGCTCCACCGAGGGTCCCACTGGACCATGGAGAGTCTACACACCTGGCTGGCAGTAATCTGCTCTGATACCACTTGTCACCTCCCAAAAGAGCCCTTAAGGGTGGTGGGCAGCCCAGGACTTAAATACTGCTTTTCGGCCCTACACCTAGCCAATGTGGGACTATTTGTCCGTGACAAGACGCATACTTCACATCCAATATATTTATTAAATTCGATGTGTACATTCAAAAGAAAGCTCTAATTGGCACATGCATACATGCATATAAACACACATATTTTGACTTTGCAGACACATTTACATAGCCTATGCTTATTAGTGCTAGACCATTAACACTTATGATAGGCCATATTTATGGGTCAATGGTAGCTCAACTCATTTGAATCTCTTATTCATTGCCTCTTTAAAATCATCAACCCTGTTAATGATCTAGCATATATCTTTTCGAGAAGATAACATAGTGCAAGAAGATTAGTTTAAGATATAAATATTGAGATATATTTGTCAATTCAGCCCTACTTTGTCAATTTTTCCTTTTGAAATAGTTTTATATTTAGTTCAATACATATTGTATATATTATTTTATATTATTTCTCATTGTTTGTTATTTTGTCAGTTGTGAATGGTAAAATGAATATTAGCAATTTTGGCATGTTCACCATTTATCAATGTTATTTGATTGTGAATGTCCTTGAATTTATGGATATGATTGTCATTAATAGGCTTTAAGTTACAATAGAAAATCTTTGATATTAAATCAAAGATGGCTTTTGAACATACTTTTGCTCTTCTAGTTTTTTTCTTCTTCATAGCCTCATGCTCCTTACGATTCACACAACGTCATATGTTCTTATGCTTTCTTTATCTTATTTAATTCTCCTCTTATTCATTCATTTTATTGATCCAATTAATCTCTTCGAGGTCTTCATCTCTCTTTCTATCCCTTTCTAAAGTTGATTCATTTTCTATTTTGCAAAACAAGAAACCAAGCTCTACCCCTATATCCACTCTCATTTTACCTTCCATCATTAATTGGTATTAGAGCTGAATTTTCTGCATACAAGTGTTCTATATGATAAAATTAAAGTGTATTATGATCATGGCTTCTTCTTATCTATCTTACTCGGCTCTTTTTTTGTGCATTGTAACCAAATTCCTAACAAAACCTAGTTTCAAATTTCAAATTTCCACACAATATTTCTCTTTTATGTATAGTCTGCTTAAACAATCCTTGACCAACCTTAAGAACTTCATCTTGTTCTTTCATAAAATACAAAACACTTTTAATTTTCTTTTAAGTTCACCTTAACACTCTAGCTGAAGCAAATTCAAATCCTACATCTGCTTAGTAGCTGACTCCCTCCGTCCAAGAATAAAATCTATGCCCCATTCTCGATCTTGCACAATTTAAGGCTTTTTCTTCCCCCCTTTGGTCTTCGTAAACCCGAGTCCTCAGCTTTTTGAATATATATATATATATATATATA